AGTACTAGTAGTACTAGTCGTACTAGTAGTACGAGTAGTACTAGTTGTACTAGTCGTGGTAGTCGTAGTAGCAGTAGTAGGAGTAGTAGGAGTAGTAGTAGTAGTAGTAGTAGTAGTAGTAATAGTAGTAGTTGTTGTGGTTGTTGTCGTCGTCGTTGCAGTGGTTCGGGCTGTGTGGTGGTAGAGGTAGTAGCAGCAGCAGTAGCAGTAGCAGCAGCAGTGGCAGTAGCAGTGGACGTGGCAGCGGCACTTGCAGCAGCAGCATCAGCCGCAAGAGTAGCAGCAAGAAAGGCGCAGTGGTAGTAGTCCTACTCTTGGAATGGTAGCAGTGTTGATTGTTCCTGCTGTCGGAAGAAACGGCAGAATTTGTATGAACTCCAACAAGCATCCCTACGGCAAAGACATAATTCCTGAAGCTGGCAGCTTTCGTTACAAGGATTGCTCTAATTAGTCGTTATCCGTCTCCTTGTTTCAAGCCCTTGTCAAAGTAGCTTCCGTGCTCCAAATTTGAATAACAAGCAGGCCCCCGATGTATCCGCACCAGTCCCAAGTGGCAATTATTAACCCAAAATCCCCGAAAAGCATAAAGCCCTAAACTTCTTAAAGGCCCCAAAAATCGTCTAACGCCCTCAAAGCAAGCCTTGAACCTCTACTAAGGGGCTGAGTAGGTAACCTTTAACCTTTTTGGGGCTTTTATAATCCTACTATAATACACCTAAACCCTAAACCCTAATACCCTAAACCCTAGGCTGAACCACCATGCTCGAAATAGGGTTTAGAGGAATCCTACTGTAATCAAAAGGTTAACCTTTGTTGGGCTAGGGTACTCAGCCCTTCAGTCTAGAGACCCCGAAAACCTACCCCGTGAAGCCTAAACCCTCAACGCTAAAACCTGGGCCCCAAACCCTACGGTTGATGACATAAATCCTGCATTACCTTAAGGACCCTGAACTATGGGAATTATTCGTTATTATGGGTGATGCAAGATTATATCATCAACCGTAGTATCGATTCCAAAGTTGCTAGGCTCCTCCTGCTCGACCTCCTGCAGCGCGCGGGAGAGAGCGATGGCGAAAAAGCGTTTGCCATTCCCCGTCAAAGGATTGAGAAACTTTAGCCCCTGAACAGCATGGGACTTAGCAATCAAGGACCCACTTACAAACCCCCCCTGATCCTCTAAGGTAGTTTCATCAGGTGTTAAGGGCATCATGGTGGCATGCCTTGCTTTAGGGGTGGCAGATTTGGATCATGTAAAAGGGATCTGGGTGTGCCGACTTGCGAGCCCTAAACCCTAAACCCTAGGGTCAGGGTTTAGGGTTCAGGGTTTAGGATTTAGGGTTTAGGAGTTTAGGGCTTAGGGTTTATAGGCCCTAAACCCGAATATGTTGCTTCAAGGCTCCAGGCACAAAGAGAGCATGGTGTCGACAGAGCTGTAAGGAGCAGACCGGTGCTTCAGAGTTGCTTCCCAGCGAGCCCAATACCCCTGACTTAAGGAATATACCTTATGTTCTAGGGTTCCTTAAAGGGATCGATCAGGGTCTCTATAAGGGTTCCATGAGGGAATTAAGGAGATAGACCTTAAGTTATAGGGGCCTTAATACTATGATTTAAGGTATACTCCTTAATTAAGGATCAAATATACCTTAAATTTCCGGGGCCTGATTTTTACGATCTAAGGTATATTCCTTAATTAAGGATCAGACTTAAAGTCAGCAGACCCCCAGCCCTAGGCTCATGTGAATCAATGTCGGCTTCTTCTAAATCCTAGGTCCCTGAATAGTACCCTTGTGCCCTTTTTTTATTTTAGGGCCCCCTTACTACAACCGAATAGTAGGGGAAAGGGTACCCTTACTATAAAGGGGCTACTCAGGAACCAAGTCTTCTAAACCAGCAAGTAGCTTGCAGACATCATTCCAAACCTAGGCAGCTCCACGACCAGGGCAAAGGAATAGTTACCCTAAGCCCCTAAACCCAAAGACCCTCAGCCCTAAACCCCTAAACCCCTAAAACCCTAAACCCTAAAACCCTAAACCCTAACCCTAAAACCCTAAACCCCTAAACCCCTCAAACCCTGAAACCCCAAAGCCCTAAATCCTAACACCCCTAAATAAGGAACCCTTTAAAGGAGCCCCTTTAACGGGATCTCTTTAAAGGAACCCCTACTGCCATGGCGCGCACGCTGGCAGTCCTCCACCTCGCGCTCCTGTCGAGTCGTGGGCTCGAGGTCGACGAAGACACCTTCCCCAGCGTCCAATATCTTCTGAGGAGACCTGGGCTCCCGTTTTTAGGTGGTTTAGGATTTTAGGGTTTTGGTGGTTTTAAGGGTTTTGGGGTTTAGGGTTTAGGGGTTTAGGGTTTTAGGGTTTAGGGTTGAGGGGAATATCTTCTGGGGAGACCTGGGTTCTTGGTTTAGGTGGCTTAGGGTTTAGGGCTTTAGGGTTTTCTAGGGGAAGATCTTCTGAGGAGACTTGGGTTCTTGGTTCAGAGAGGTTTTTTTTAAGTTAAGCTTTAAGTCTACCAGAATAAGAACACCCATATTGCTTACTATAGCTCCCTATTCTGGTAACTTAAGTTAACTTCCTTAACAAGAGCCAATGTTACGGTACGGTTCATGATATAAACCCTGCATTACCCATAATAAGGAATATACCGTACCATAATTCCCATAGTTTAAGGTCCTTAAGGTAATGCAGGATTTAAATCATCAGCAGTATCTTCTGAGGAGAGGAAACCTCACACAGGCAACGCAGGAGGCAATTGCCATTTACTCGCACGATCTGGCAGCGAGTTATCTTGGAAATGCTACCCGATTCTCTTCAAGCCTGCGGAAGGTGCACTCTTCTCATACGTTTTCAGTTGGTAACTTCCAGACGAACACAGCTGTGCAAAATCATCAGATTTTGCACCCAGACATACCACGGAACAGCTCTGTACTGTCCGTCTACGTGGGGCATGATGCCAGTATTTAGTTCCTCCAGCAGTATCATTTTTGTTTACTTTTGTAGCTTCGGGGCTCCTTTTCAAGTGAATGTTGAATACTAGGAAAAAGAGAACGCCTCTCTTTGATGGCCGAATCGGGACACCAAACCCTAAACCCCTAAACCCAAAGCCCCAATCCCCGAAACTAAACCCTAAACCCAGGCATAGCCTTGAGCCACTCTGGTCGGATTCTGTGCGTGCTGGAGCTGGAGCGCCTCTACAAGATTCGCTACTTCGGCCCATTGCAAAAGGACTACCACGGTTTGGGCTTCCGAAGTAGCATCTTGGCTCCTTACTTCAGCATTCTTTGTGCTATTCTTCGGGAGGGTGGGTTGTATGGATCTCTTGCTTCTTGTTATAAGTGGATTGCGGTTCAAACTAAGCTGTCCACTTACGAAGCACTCAAGCTTGGGGGTGTTTTTTTGGCACTTTTGGCTCCTCCCAAAGTTTCTCTTTAGGTCTTGAGAGAAAGCATTACTCTCAAAGATGCCTTCGTTTGCAGGACTCGAACTGTTCGGTTTCCTCAGGGCTCTGAATATAGGGTCCGAAAGCTAGCTAAGGGAACTGTTCAGGTGTTAGAGTTCTAAGAGCCATGACGGGAAGTAAGGTATGCAATTTGCTCTGAGACGCTTTAGCGAGCAATGTCAGGCTGGCGAGGAACAAGCCAGGCCAATGCAGACACGAGGTACCAATTGAGCATAATGTTGCTTAATCTTCTTGCTTAGTAGAGAGGCCGGATCATGAATCGAGGTTCCAATGGATCTCTCTCACGCAAAGAACCCTCGTTCGAGCAGGGTTTAGGATTTAGGGTTTAGGGTAATTGATGGGTACTATAATCCCGTACATTCCCCATACAAGTGATAGGTAGTTCTCTAAATTAGAGTCCCGTTTTAGATCCCAAAGATAGTACGGCACCCTTATAAAAAAAAAAAAGGACCCTAAGAGGGGCCCTAAGTTTTGAGCACTACCCTTATACCATTATAAAACTCAAAACCTATTCTTGTTGCTAAGGCCTAAACCCTAAACCCCAAACCCCAAACCCCAAACCCTAAACCCTAAACCCTAAAACCCTAAACCCTAAAACCCTAAAACCCTAAAACCCTAAACCCCTAAACCCTAACCCCCTTAAAGTATGTTTCAGATCATGGTGCGAAGGGTTGAGGGGAGGAGGGCGGGCGGGCAAGCTAAACCCGAAAACCCAAAGTTCAAGACCGAGGACCCTAAAGCCCTAGAAGCCTAACACCCTAGGGTTTAGGGCTTAGGCTTTAGGGTTTAGGGCTTAGGCTTGCTTAGGCTTTAGGGTTTAGGGCTTAGGCTTTAGGGTTTAGGGCTTAGGCTTTAGGGTTTAGGGCTTAGGCTTTAGGGTTTAGGGCTTACCTGTAACCCAAAAAGACCTACTTCTTTAAGGACTTATATAAGGAAATCAGAATAAGGAACCCTAAAAAGGGAGGTTCTTTGGGGTCCAGGTAAACCCTAACACTCCATGGCTTAGGGCTTTAGGGCTTAGGGCTTAGGGTTTAGGCCCTAAACCCTAAACTCTAAACCACTAAACCCTAAACCCCTAAACCCCTAAATCCCTAAACCCCTAAACCCTAATCCCTAAACCCTAAACCCTTTAGGGTTGAGGGCCCTGGAGCCCAAAGTCAAGACCGAGGATCGATTTCGGCGTCCTCATCCTGGGAGTCAGGGAAGGCAGAGCAAGGAGAACTTTTACTCTGGGTTTAGGGGTTTAGGGCTTTAGGGTTTAGGGGTTTAGGGATTTAGGGGTTTAGGGTTTAGGGAAGGTTTTAGGGTTTAGGGTCAGGGGCTGAGTAGCTAACCTTTGACCTATTGGGGGCTTATAGAATGCTACTGTACCTACCCTTTTGGGGCTAGGGTGCTCAGCCCCTGGGCTTTAGCGCAACTTTAGGGGTTCATATCGGGCCTAAAAACATGAATTCTGATTAAGGGTTTCCGAACACCATTAATAATCGCGTCCCTCTCCCTAACCCTTGAAAATGCAGTGCAATATCCCCCGAGCCCCTAAACCCGAAAACCCAACCCTCAACCCCAAACCCGACCCTAAGCCCTAAACCCGAAACCCTAGGGCCTTAATGAATAAAATAGGGTTTGGGGAGGGGGGTTGCGGGTTGCGCCTTCGCTACTGCAGTCCTGAACCTCCTACCCTTGTTGCACAGTAGCCCGCCTTGGTGGGCTTAGGCAGCAAAACTGAAAGGTTTACCTTTCCCTTGGGTCAGAAGAACTCTTCTTTGGACCAGGGAATTCAGAAATTAGGAGGTTAAACCTTAAAGGTTAAACCTTAAAGCCTAACACCCTGTTTTAAGGTAAGCCCAACAGGATCACCGTCGGAACAATCGCGCAGATCGTTCGCTCCGACTACGAGGTTGGTTTCAGGGTGCTTGCTAAAATTAATAGGAAGTATTTGGTTGGACTTCTCACCCTAAACCCTAAGCCCTAAAGCATGGAAACCCGCCGAAACCCGCGACAATGAAACCCCATCTACCGCCATGCTTGTAACACTCCTTGTCACCCTTCTGGACATTGGGATGGAATCCCTTCAGCCCTATAGACCATCCCTAAACCCCTAAAGCCCTAGACCCTAGAACCCTAAACCCCTAAAGCCCTAGACCCTAGAACCCTAAACCCCTAAAGCCCTAAACCCTAAACTTAAAAGATGTTGATTTGGGGCAGCGGCAACAAGCCCTAGAACCCAGCCCCCCGTCGTAACTGCTATTAAGGGTGGTAGTTGAAAACGAGGCGTGAGTTGAGGATCCGGGACCCCCTAAAAGGGGAACCCAATACCCATTAATTAAGGAATACACCTTAAATTTTAGGGGTCTTAATGTTATGATTTAAGGTATATTCCTTAATCAAGGGATATTGGGGCTCTCTGGGTTCTTAAGGACCAAAAGACCCTTAAGACTAGGGACCCTATACCCTTCTTACTGTGAATCCCTATTATGGTATATGAGCCTTAAACCCTTTTAGGGTTCATTTCGTCCTCAAGATTCTGCAGGTAACATGGGGGGATGGAGGTCGAACTAGTTAGCTCTGTGGGGCCTGGGTCTCGGATTTCCATGGCTTTTTGCATAAGCTTTTGTAGGTTTTCGGCGGGCTGAAAAAAGGGTGTTGTAGGGGATTAGGATTTGGGGGTTTTGGGGCTTTTGAATTCTGCGGCTTTTCGGGCTGAGTGAAGACGCCCCAGGTGGGCCAGTGGTACTACCTGGACCACCATCACGCGCACGCGCTGCTGGGGTTCTACGACTCTCCTTTTCAGTCTGCGCTCATCATCTCCTACGACGGCGAGGGGATTCCTGGGCTCTTGCTAGGGGATTCAATTTAGCGATATTGGGGATCTATAGTAACTCGTATGTAGGGTTTAGGGGTTTAGGGCTGAGGGTTATAATGGGGATCTATAGTATTTAGTATGGTTTCCTTATTATGGAAACTTTAAATTAAATCCCTTAACAAGAACCCTAAACCCTTAATCCCTAAACCCTAAATCCCTTAACAAGAACCCAGAATCTTACCAGCTGATGAGGTCAGCATCCCCTAGGCCCCGCAACCCTCTTCGTTAGAGCCCGACTTGCCTGAAACCATGTGGGACTTTCCGAAAGCAGTTTTGCAGTATATTAGGGAAATTCCTTCAAGCTACAGTTTAGGAGTCACCATAATCAGTAAACCACATGGGGGTTCCGAAAATAGGGGACCCTAATATAGTACCCTTAATAGTAGGATCCGTATTATAAGGACCCCAAAATAAGGTTCCCTAATTTTCGGATAGTCTCAGTACCTTATGTTGGGGTCCTTATTATAAGGATCCTACTATTTAGGGTGCTATATTAGGGTCCCCTATTTTCGGAAACCCCCATTTGGGCCTACGTGGTCCATTTGGTCCGCTTTAAAGCTCTACTTGACGCCCTGGCATGTTCCTCTGGAAGGGGAGGCCCCTTGTAAGGTAATGTAGGGGCCTGAAGAGTTAGAAATATTCCAGCGGCTTCCCTAAAACACTAGAACGACAACATACCCCCTAAAGCCTAAACCCTAAAACCCTAAAACCCTAAACCCTCCAAGCCCTCTTCTAATTCGCATGGCTCCTATAGTATCGTTGAAGGAACCCCATCGGTTCTCCATCGTGGCTAACTATTGTTGATGATATAAATCCTGCATTACCTTAAGGGCCCTAAACTATGGGAATTATGGTATATCCCTTATTATGGGTAAAGCAGATTTAGATCATCAACCCCTAAACCCTAAACCCTAAACGGTAAAGCAAATTTATATCATCAACCGTATAGGGTTTGGGGTATAGCATAGTTGGGGTCTAAGTAGGGCCCTGGGCTCCGGATCTCTAGAGTTTATGGTTTAGGGTTTAGGGGTTTAGGGTTCGGGTTTAGGGGTTAGGGGTTTAGGGGTTCAGGGTTCGGGTTTAGGGGTTTAGGGTTCGGGTTTGGGGGTTTAGGGTTTTGGCTTTGGGGTTTAGGGTTTTTTGTTTTGGGGGTTTAGGGTTTACTGTTGCGAGGGCTACCGAAGGTCGGAACATGTGTCTGGAACTTCTACCGCTCAACCGGAGGAATGACGGCTTCTTCAACGTGTACCTGGGCCGGGGGCAGGAGCTTGTTTTGCGGATTCGAACCTCTAAACTTTGTTCGGTACATAAAGGGGCCTCAATGAATAGGCCACAGCCCCCTATTCAGACCTCCAAGCACTTACTTCTTGAATAAGATAATCTGCAGAACATAGAGACTGAAGGTGACTTCCTTAATGACTTAGTCCGAGATTGTCAAGAACTTCAATATCCCTCAACCAAGGTACATACCAAAAAAGAGATAAAGGATCCGTCTTGCTGTATGCCGCTTCAAAAAAACATGCCAACCCTTATCCCTAGCCAGAGAGACACATTCCCTGCAATGAGGCAGTGTACTTAAAAATCATTCGGGAGACCCCTCCTCATTTCACAAGGCTTTCTTACTCAAGGGCTACTGGGCTCACTGGGTACTCCTTCATGAGACTTGAACCATGTCCAAAAACATTCTCCAATCCTACGACACTCCGACAGGCACGAAAGTACGTTTCAATTAAGCCATACATCGTTTGCATACCTGAAAACACGAGAATATGTGCCAATGAAGCACAGAAGCCTAAACACCGCAAAATCCAACAAGGAGCCGTGAAACCGTAGTAGCTCCTGAAGTCTAATTCTTGCAACGCCAGACACCATTTGTCGATTAACCCCTTAAAACGGAGGTAAACAAAGTGGACCCATTAACAATTATCCCAGATTCGCCCTGAGCCTTCGATCCTGGGCTCTTAACCCCATAGAACCCGAAAATACTGCGAATCAAGTTGTTTACTGGGTTCTTGTTAAGGGGTTTAATTGGGATCTATAGTAAATAATAGGGTTTCTTTATAATGGTGACTTAACTTAAAGCCGTTAACAAGAACCCGGTTTAGCTCCCGTGGGTTCTTCTTAAACTCTAGGGTACCATGTTGTTGGGTCCTACGGCTGATGTCGGCATTAAGCTGAAATTGTTTAGTTTAGTGGGTTAGGGTTCCTATAGAAGTATACTATAAGAACCTGGATAAATGCCAACTATCCTGTAAGCCCAAACCCCAGGCCGCAACCTCAAACCCAAAGTGAAAGCTTGAGCCCCGAAAAGCTTCACCTCCAAACCCT